AGATAAATGCTGACATGTAGGGCACATATGCCCTGACGCATTGGTCGTAAACCAATCAGCTATCACAGAGGAAACTTTTAGCCATTTTACAAGACCATTCCAGAAAACAGTGGTGGAGTGACAGGTCTGAATTAAAACACTTGCAGCACTGAACCTTCCCTCTTTAACAGAGTCAAATACTTTTGTTTGTTTAGTTCTCCTGCAGAGCACATCCCCTTTAGGTTTAGTGAAATTCTCGGAGGGAAGGGGACATTGTGTCTTCCCGCAGAGCTGCTGCATCATACCCAAGAGTGCAGGCTGGGGCAGGCAGCATAAGGAGGGGAAAGAAAGCAGATGAGGAGACCCTGGCAAAGGGCTTGGTTGGAGCAGACCCAGAAGAAGTCATAGAAGTGATGGAAAAAGGAGCTCAGAAGAGATCATGTGGAATCTGTACAGCCTGACAGTCACCAAAAGCTGGTGGAGTAGAAGAGAGAACTGGGAGAAAGAATCTGTTCTGCAAAGGCACAGGGAGCCGGGAAGATTTATTTTCAGGCCTTATTTTTCAGGAGTATAGCTAGCAATTCTGAGTTCCCTAACGAGCTATCACTTTCTAGCATATTGGTTTATGTTCTAATAAAACATACTTTTAGAGACTAGATGGCTTTTGGTATGCTCACTAGAAAGAGAAAGTAGGGCATGTCCAACTTCAGCCCAACATGAGGTCCTATCAACATCTCCAAATTGAAGGAAATGCTATGGCTGACCAGGAAGGACAGGGTAGGGATGAGGATAATTTCTGTTTCCAGAACTGCCTTTGTGCTGGTTGATCCCATAGCTATTTACAGATTAATTCCTGAGAATATACATTTGGACTGTTTTTAAATAAAGCTAACTCTGTGGTAAAAACCAGCAAGTCTTGACAACTCATTAGGCTATATTTTAGATTGAAATAAGGCAAAGAAAGGTAAATCCTCTTTTCATCAGAAACTGTTATGAAAATGGCTGACACTGTTCTTTATGATTTGGAAGCTTCTTATTAAGTATTACCCAGCCCCAATCCTGTTTTGCTTGTGAGTGACAAGATTTTAGCTCACACAGTTCAAAACCCTAAATTATCTGAACTTGGTACTATGCTCTGTGATAAAATGAAGCAGAGCTCTCTTTTTGCATATGCTTTCTTGGGAGAACAGCAAGCATGCTGGAAGATTTCTGCACCATGTGATAATGTAAGTGAGCATCTATAGAAATGGAAGCACTCTAACCATCCACATGGCTGACAAGCAGGGCTAATGAGCAAAAGCCCAGCAGAACTATCAGCCTGGCTACACTGGTTTTGGGACTCGGTCTAGTAGGTATCCACAGCACTCTGCCATCACAACATGCTTCCATGCCACATTGAACTGGAAGAGGATCAAAATAGGTGCAGGTTCTGCAGTTACACCTTGCTCCCGTACCAATTTTTTTCTTTCTCTGACTTCAACACAGAGTTTTAGACAGTTCTTGGGTGAATGCTAGCAGGCTAACAGGGTCATAATAAAGGATAAAACCTCTTCCTAACAATATGTCTGTTCTACAGAGATAAAAACATATTCTCTGTTCCACCTTAAGAGGAGGTCTTCAAAGTCATTTCAGAAATACAAATTAACCAAACCTTTCAGGATTTTTTGCATATGCATTCTTCTGTAAAAGAAGTCTAAAGATCATGTTTCTAGCAGCATGCATGAGAAAAGATGCAAACTAAGGAAGAAGCACACAATTCATATTTACACTAATGCCATTTATCTGCACTCTAGCAATGAAAGAGGGTAGTAAAGTGAAAGCAGTTTAATTTTATTATCTTTATAATGCCTCTTTACAATAGTAGGAAGGTGTATGTAAGGCTAGGATAAACAAGAAGATTTTTTACTAATTAATCTACCATCTGGGGAAAAGCTCCTGCCTTGCTAAAAGCCTTCTAAATTAATAACAAGATACAGGGGAATTCAGAATCCTTCTACAAATGTATTGTAAACCTAAAATTGTACTTAAACATGATTCAGCAGATTTTAAGCTGACTGATGTGGCTTATCATTTGAAGTGAACGGTACCTGATTCATTCAGGGGAGAATATGACAGAAAGGCATAGCAGAAAGCACCACTTTCACTCCCTCTTTCTTTACAGCCTTGAAGCACACAAGTCGTTATGCTGGGGAACTTGTACATTGCAATAGGTTGCTTAGGAGATGCAGAGTTGAAAGACAAGTAAAATGATACTGCTTTAATATGTAAATGAAAGTGTACCCAGTTAAATATGCACAACATCGTCATTCCTGTGCAACACTTGCAAACATTATCCAAAGAAACCCCAGCCCCGGCACACAGGCTGTTTGAATGCTTAGGTTTGCTTAGTCATTTTCAGATGAGGTCAGCCATACTGATGACATGACTCTTGGCATCCGAGGCTCTTGGCAGTATTAAACTGGGAGAGGAAACACTTTGTTCTCCAATTTTCAGAGACTTTCACAGAACTCACATTCAGACAGCATCATGAGACAAAAGGCTTCTTTCAGTTCCTCTCCTCCTGGTAAAATCACCTGAGTTTAAAACACACAGCTCACATTTTCTTGAAATGCCATTAAGCAGAAAAAACCTTGTCATTTAAAAACACTTCCAGTGTAATAATGTATCACAGAACACTGTTGACAATTGAATTAAGGAGACAAGCATTTGTGGGGCTGGTGGGTAATTGGTGTATCAGAAAATGGTGTGGACAGATAGCACTTTTCTTCTTCAGCCGTGCTTGGAAACATTAATTGATGAATCCTGACAGTACTGAGCAGCAGGAAGCTAAGTATTATTTCCTTTATTTAATAAAAATTGCAAGTGGATGGCTTCAGTGAAGTACTATCCCCACCTAATTTTCCTCTTCTACCAGAAAAAAAAACCCGTCTCAGAATTACACTCTGGTTTCCATGTTATACAGCTGGAGTAACTAATACCTTACAGTGCTGCATGGTGTAGTGTAGTGTAGTGTAGTGTAGTGTAGTGTAGTGTAGTGTAGTGTAGTGTAGCGTAGTGTAGTGTAGTGTGGGGCAATATGGCAGCTACACCTCCTATCAATCTGCAGAAGCTAGGTCTAAGTTTGGAAATGTCTTCACCCAAAGGATACTTAATCCTCAAAATGAAAAGGCAAAAATCTTTAAAGGAATCTTTAAACGGTTAAAATGCAGTGAACTGTGTTCATTTTCTGAGTTAGAAATAATTTCCCAAGAACACAGTTAAATGGAAAGAAAAGTGGTTGAGCTGGAATGGTTCATTCATGCAAATTCCAGAAGATAATGAGATTTCAGACAATATTATTACGATAAAAACAACTGTAGCTTTCTCAAAGGGGCTAATAGTAATGATTTGACTAATAATTTGAAGTTGATGCTCATTAAGACCTTCTCTTATAGTGTTGTGAATGTTCAGAAACTGGGCTTCACATTGTGCCAGCCAGCAGAGGTAATTGAATTCCAGCTCTGGTTAGGGGATAGAGAAACACAACAAAGTCAGGTCTGGTATCTCTGAGGAAGACTTTGGCAAAGGTTTGATTAATCACGCAAAACTTAGGTCTTCTAATTCTTTGCATATTCCAGCTGAACTTTCAATTACCTCTTTAGTATATCTGCTTGAAAGGTTTGGGGAGGAGTTTAACATACTTGGAATAATTTGTGAAAAACTCATTTGTCAGTACAAATCAGGTTGGTTAACGTTTGTTGTCCCTCCAGATTAGTGCATGGTTTGAAAGTAGTACTATGATTTTCTCCTCGCACACCTCCTCAGAATGCCACTAAATGCCAAAATGCCACTAAAACCATTACTCAGCCCAAGGAAAGAGCAACTTGAGGTTCCACCAGAGACACAGAGCACTCGGAGATCAGTGGTTTACAGTCCCGAAGTTTAATGGTCACCTATTAAAAGAGGAAATGAGTGAGGTGGTAAATGGAGGCTGGCTTGGACTACAGCTATAGGTGTTATTCCTATTAATTCATTGATTGTTGCACCTAGGACATTTTGAGAAACATAGGTTATTTACCTGGAACAGGTCTTCTTCAGGTGGTTATTTATACACATACATAAATTATGGATTTTTGGTGCTGTTTGCTTCTAATTTCAGCAGGGTCCAAAGGACAGAGGTGGAAGTAGATGATCTTTAAGGTCCCTTCCAACCCAAACCATTCTATGGTTCTGTGGTTCTATGAAAAGGTCCCAATGTAACTAGTTGAAACAAAGCAAAAGAACTGACTGTCCCAAAGTTGGCATAATGTTGAGAGGTTTCAATGGTCAAGGAAATAGTGAAATGAATCCTGGGGTTAGAAACTTGACCCCTTGGATGTGTCAGCTGAAGAGACAGGCAGATAAGGAGTCCCAAATCTGGTCAATATAACGAGAGCAAGCACGACTCACGTTCAATATATGCAAAAAAGAATCAGCCCTGAAAGCCTGTGGAAAAAAAAAAACAATGGGAAAATCAGTTTCTTGGCTAAGGACAAATTCAGGGACCCATAAGCAAAAAAAAAAATAAAAAAAAAAAATTTACAGGCAATCCTGAGGGTGTAACTTGTCTTGAACAAGCACAGCCCACAGAGGAGCCGTAACAGCGGTCTCGCTCTCTGCCCTTCAATGGCCAATGTGATAACTTCCAAAAAGGACAAGAGGACTAGGTCCAAGCTTTTCCATACAGACATCTAGCTTCAAGTACATAGTTCATGGATCATGAAAAGATAAAGAGAGGAGGTGTTGTGCAAGCAAGATTCATCTTTTAAAACCCAAAAGAAGACTCAGTGTCATAGAAGGACAAAAAATAAAATAGAACGTGTTTCCAAGTAAATGCAAAACAGAATTCAAGAAGAAGACATACTCACTATTAGAGAGTCAACACAGTTGATACATCAACTGAAAAAAGTTTCTCTGCAATCTTAGCCTCTCAAGCAAGAGGCACATGGATATGGGCATGTTTTACACCTTCGTAGCTGTGTGCCTGGCACAAAGATGGTCAGGACTTACATTCACGGCCTGTGGGGACTGCTGCAGTAAAAAAAGTACAGTCGCAGTGTGAATGCGTATGTACACATTGTGTACACTCATAGTGTGAATATATGTGTTCACAAAGATTCAGAAAATTAAAAGACACCACTGAGACATAAGGCAAAAACCTTTTCTCCTACACAAAGCTCCATCATTGTTGTTTATGTTGTGGTCATGTCTGAGAGGTATAGAAAAGGCCTTTGCCCACAGCGTTGGATTTTGTATGAATGCAGAAAAGTTGCTCACTTCATTGGTAGCAACAGCCCCAGAGAAAAGTCATTATCATGTGGCCAAATGCAATACTCAAATTTCTATCATTTCAGCCTGTAAGTGGCAACCCACTGGAGGATTTCCCAACAGAAACACACTATTCAGATGATGAGCTGATTAAGACAATTAAGGATAGGATCTTCCTCCAGTATCTGTCTTATCCACTAAGTTGAGCCCCAGTGGGAAATTTGTTGATAGTTTCAAGAGGGTAGGCTGTGATAGGCCCCTGGCTCCATTATCCACAGCTGTAACATGAGATGACAGACAACTTGCAGATGAGCACAGACAGGGCCTCAATCTGGACAATCTGGAGATCTATTCCCGCCTAAGAAGACAGAGACAGCTCTTGGGCTGGCACAGACAGGGCCTCACGCAGGCACGTAACAGCGCAGACATTTCTCTGTGAAGCACGGAGCAGAACTCCAAGGATATGAGTGACAGCCCAGCGCCTCACACGTCCCTCTCCTCCTTTCTCTCCTTCAGGGAACAAAAC